TCAGGATAGAAATCGAACAAGATATATGTAATAATGAAAACGGTCGAAGACCTTACTGTTGCCATCTTAGTAGTTTTTTTATATGTAATTGCTTTCCTAATACGTTCTATTTTTTTTTTCATGAAAACATCAGAAAGAGCAAATTTGATACAAAAATATGGAATATTATGGTATTCAATCTGCATTTTTACAAATCTAATTTTCATATATTAAAAGATTATTTACATTAGCTAATAAATTTTAAATATTATCGTGTTTATGATGTCGCTTTAATTACTTGGAGATAATTACGATTAAGTAGTGTTCAAGGAAATGAAAGGAAGTAAACGTTAACGTTTTTATGATTTTGTAGTGGTTTTTCGTTACGCGTGGATTTGATCGCCACTTGAGTTCAATAGACGAGGCATATTTTATCGAATTTGAAGTATGTTACAGCTTTTCATACTCGTAAAATAGGAAATGCAATTTTCGTTCATTATCTCGTTCGTCCTTAGATTTTTTACTCTCCTGTCGTTTTAATTTCTAATTTTTGTTATTTTCATCGATTATGCAGATAATATTTTCATTTGTGATAATCTTTTTTTGAAAATAAATTAATTATTTAACAAATAAGCTTTTTAAAATTCATAATAGAAAAAAAAGTTGGATTAGAAGAAAACGATATATGAATGATTTTGATTTACCTGTAATCTTAAATCTGGAAGGATCAGCATAGTTTTGAGTTTCTGGTTATTATTAAAAACAGCCGAATTTGATAAATTTATAGATTATTCTTCTATAATATTCACAGGTTGTATTGTTCTTTGAATTCTCAATTTTTGTCTGTTTTTCTGACCTTGAAAAAGATTATTCGCTAATTCACTAATTAATATGAACCAATAGATGATCTAATGGATACTAATAATCAAGATTCTTTCTCGAAGAATAGCTCAAAATTATCGATGCCTTTCAATCGCGCATACCGATTAATTGAACACCAATAAATCCATGTCCTTCCATAATCAATTGCATAGTAAAAAACACTAAATAAATTAGTAGCAAATGTATTTCTTCACATTTCACTCGCGTAAATAAATACATTCGATATGATAGAATTAAAACAAATTTAACTAGAAAAGATGTTATAGAAATAGATGCATTCGATGTTTCCGCGATGCATTTCTTTTCTATGAGAAAGCGGAATTCCCAGGGCCGACGAACGGTGTTGCTCGCGCAAAGGAAGGAGTATCAAATGAACTAATGAAAGGAATAAGAGGGGATATATATATATATATATATATATATATATATATAATAAAGA